GCCTCTATGGTTCGCACGCCATATTCGGCGTGCATTAGGCCACTCGCCCAGAGCTCCACGGTCGTCCTCCTCCTCGCCTCCCGGGCACGGGAGAGCTCCTCCGGGGCCGGTACTTCGCCCCGGGCTCTTTGTTCCGCCCGCGCCCAGTAGGCTTCAACCAGCACTCCCGCCTCTATTTCCCAAGGCGGGGTGCCGGCCAAAACGCAGGACGCCGCGTGGCCTACCGTACGGTAGGCCCGGCAAGCACGCGCCGCAACAATGCTTTGCGGCGTCCTTACCGTGCTTATCCTGCTGATCAATTATTTACCGTAGCTTGAATGCGTTGCTTCGAATTACGTCTAATTTGAAATACTTGCTAAAAAAAAGAAAACATGCCTAATAAGAGGCGGCAGAATAGAAGTCGGTCGCGAAATCGCAGATCGCATTCTAGCCAACATGATTCGCGCTACTAACGGCGTAGCCCTTCTAGCAATATTTTAACCGAAACAATGCAACAAATTTTGAATAGATTGGTGTCATTACAGGAACAACAGGTAGTGTCTTCATCTCATCGGAAGGAGTCAAGTGGCCGCGCCGCAGTGGAAGTGGCCAGGTCCGCGGTGCCTGTGACAACCATCAGCACCGAGCCCGTTCCTGCCGTTGAGCCTGCCGTGTCGATGCCGCCGCCGTCGCAGTTGGGCGAAGCTGTGACTGCGAGCTCGCTTCAGGCTTCAACGACTCTGTCCTCACTGGAGCGTCCCGCAAGCGCTGCGTCAGTCCAGGCCAGCGCCGCCGATCGCATCATCGATGCGATACGATCCATAAATATACCGGTGAGATCTAACCAGTCTTATTATATTTCTGATTTTGATCCGAGTGTTAATGAGATAGACATGGTGTGAAGAAGTAGACCGTGCTAGGTCTTCTAGTAATTGGAGTGATCACGAATGTCTTTCTGGCATTGGCAATTGTTTACAAGGAGATGCTAAAACGTGGCTCAGTGAATGGGTAACGAATGACCGCAGTTGGAGTAATTTTAAAAACGAATTTAAGCCTTTATGTCTTTATAAGAATTTTTTTATATTATTATATTTTAAATCTAACCTTATTTGATAAGAATATTGTAGTTTCAGTGTGAATTGTGGGATGAAGTGTATTATAATTTTGAGAGTTAGAAAGCTGATGTT